ACCGCAGCCGAGCCCGCAGACGTCTGCCCTCCCCACTTTCTGAGGACAGAGGACAGTAGCCACAGGTCCAGGTAAGGGTAAAAGAGGGAGAGAAATTGGGGCCTGCAAACCCATCTTTCATCGTGCTGACTTACATCCCGTTTTTTTTCTTGTCCTTTTTGCCTCCAGAGGAAGAAGCAGAGAAGACAACAGACAAATAGGAATTAACGTATAACCAGGGCAGAAAACAGTGCCAGGCCACCAAGAGACAGAGGTGAGAGAGTTTGGGTAAAGACTTGGGGTATGTGAAACGTGGGAAGCTTGGAGTGCCAGGACGTCCTGGGTCTGTTGGCTTATAAGCAAGGCACAGGTCTCCTGCCCTGCTTTCTCCAAATCTTAGTGTGACAGGTCGTCACTCTGGGCCGCCCTTAATGTGGCCCACGCACCTGTCTCTGAGCAACTGCCCGCCTCCTCACTTGCCATGCCTTGATCTTGATTAATTAATTAGTATTAATTGGCAGGAGGCTGCCCTTATACTGCCCCGTCACTAGGGGGCGCTGTCTGCGGCTCCTTTCCTCCCCAATACCGCAGCCCAAGCCTCGCAGATGGAATCGCTGTTATCTCTATTCTGTCCATATTTGGCCCCTTCCTGTCCTCCCTGGGCCCTCCTTCTCCGTGCCCACCTTTGGGCCTCCTCATGATGCTACCCCCCCTTTGTCTGGGGTTCACCGTGCCCAACTTGGGCTTCTTGTACTGCTGCCCCCTATCTGAGGTTTGCCGTGCCCCACTTGGGCTTCCCAATAATGTTGCCCCCTGTCTAGGGCTTGCCGTGCCCACACTTGGGCTTCTTAATCATGCAGCCCCCTCTCTGGGACTCGCCGTGCCCAACTTGGGTTTCTCAAAGTTGCCCCCTTCCTGGGGCTCTCTGCGCCCACACTTGGGCTTCTCAATAGTTGCCCCCCTTCCTGGGGCTTCTCAATAGTGCCCCGCTCTGGGGCTCGCCACGCTAGGGCCTCTCAAATGCCCCTTTCCGGGGCTGGGGTCTATGCACCCCATGTGCTGCGCCCGCTGGCGCTGGGGTCCTCACGCTCTGCTGCGAGTCCCCTATGAGGCCTCCTCCAACCCCTAATAGCCTCACCCAAACCACCAGTCTTGTAACAGCAACAAATCACAAGCCCCTGGGCTGTAACATTAATTGAAGCTGCCTGGCTAAAACAACATTGCTCAAGCCTCGAGCTGCCATAAGCCGTACCTGCAGTCAGGCTTCTTCCCACATCCTGGCTTGGAGCTCCTGCCTCTCTGGCTGCTGGCAGGGAACTGCCTCAGCCATTTGCTCTGTGCTTTATATAGGAGCCAGGCCCTGCCTCCTCTGGTCAGCTGACCTTCTTTTGTTGCCTTGGCAACCCCCAGGTGGGCTCCTTATTCCCTGCCAGGTGGGCCCTTTCCCTGGCAGTTTCCCTTCTTCAGGCCCAGGGCACCCCAGTGCTCTGTGACACTTAGGCTACTTCGTGCGGTTGGGCAGAGGGGTTACCTAGGGATTGCAGGGAGGCTGCAGGAACCCCTTCACGGCAGGGCTGAAAAGGGAGAAGCTGCAGCTGCTCGAGATGCACTCAGGCTGTGTTGACTTACCCCTGCACCACCAAGTCTTTCCAGCACGGCAAGGACAAAGACTGGGGCAGGGTGTGAGGAAAACCAGCTAGGGAAAAGGGTGCGAAGGAAAGGGACTCTGGACACAGTGATCGCCCTGCCCTTGGCTCTCAGTCACGTAAGAGCCAACATGTGGCTGAGGGAGCCTTGGAGCAGTGGGACCTCCCTGCAAGTAGGAAGCCGGTCACACCCCCCGTCTTTTAAAAGGTCACCAAGCTCACGAGTATAATGGGCGGCGTGAGCTATATTCGTGTATAGTTTTAGTGGCGTGTGCAGTTCATTGCCAGCCAACTCCACTTCTGTTTTGTGTACTCTTGCAGGTCCCTGAAGAGCAGCTGGAGAAGAAGGAGCAGAAGCAGGACAAGAAAGCTCAGAAACAACAAGTGTGGGTTGGTGTGGACAGGAGGAAGAGGCACGTGTTTAACGTATGCTTAGATAAGTACAGATGGAGACTGTCACGTGCATCTCTACACTTTCAAACACTCAGTAGGAGCAAGCTGCTGCACGCTTCAAGTTGCACCATGGACTCGGTCTTGGGTTGGCCCTATTTGTAGGCAGTGAGGTTGAGGCATTGTGCGTATTGGGTTGGCCCCGATTTGTAGGCAGTGAGGTTGAGGCGTTGCGTGTATTGGGTTGGCCCCGATTTGTAGGCAGTGAGGTTGAGGTGTTGCGTGTATTGGGTTGGCCCTGATTTGTAGGCAGTGAGGTTGAGGCGTTGTGCTAGTTGTGTGTATTGATATGTGGCAGTCTAGGTTTTTGCAGGTTGTTTGGCTTTGCTAGTTCAGGAGTTGATCAAAATAGATGTGACTGAAGGTAGCATGTAGGGTTGGGGTGTCAGTGTTGGTGTAGAAATGCAGGTTTGTGCTCAGTTCGGTTAGTGGCTTGGCCGTAGCTTGCTTTAGCCGTAGGTTGTGGGGCCAGTTTGAGGCTGGTTGTGGTGCAATTTGGTTGCGTCTGTAAGTTGAAGCTCCATGGGCGTTTGAAAGGGTTAATCTCCATCTCCACGCATGAAGGTCTCCTGTGTCCAAATGATCTAGCGGTAGTTGGCGTGCTCAGCGTCAAACCGGATGTGCACAATCGAACAATAAACAGTATAAAAAAAACTTTTCAGCTTGTGCCTGGTGCTCTTCTACACTGAGAGGACTTGGCCATTACCCTTTCCTGTTGCGAGCTGGCTGGAGGAATAAACTTCTTCATTTTGTCTACTGATCTGATCTGTCGTACTTGTTGAATAAAAATATTTCCTGTTCTGATTTAAAAATGGTAAAATAATGTGACAGGTGATGCCTAGTCACCAATTTACAACTGTTAATGCACTGTAGGAAATCAGTCCTGAGTTATTTGAGAAAATAAAAAATAAGGTACGGTGAAGCTGTGGTGCTTGGCTGCAATCTGTTGAAGTTCAGCTGTCTCTTGTCTCAAAAAAATGGTCCCAGTAAAAAGAAAATGCTCAGAAAACTTTGTGAGCTTCTTGGTGTTTTTTTAGTCCATTTGTGTGAGACCGTCTTGTCTGAATGCCTTGAGTACACGTCCTGCTCTTTATTTCTAATGGCAGGGGGTGGGTGCTTTTTCATACAAAACAAAAGGGGCCTGAGGATGCATCTTAAGGAACAAGGTCCAAGCTCTCCCTGAGCTACCAACTAACTGGCTGGGTTTGGATTATGCTGCCGTGGGATGCTAAGGCAGAGACGCAGCTGCCAGGCAGGCACTGGGGGTGCGTAGGGCTCAGCATCCTCCACAGCTATGACCCGCACTTGGGGCATGATCGGTCCTGGGGGTGGTGCAGTATCCCTTTTGGGATGTTTCCTTAAGCACAAGAAGGGACCGAGGCAAGGAGCAGTTCAGTGCTGTTACCTTCGAAAACTGCTGCTGCAGCGTTCCCCAGGACTGGATGCACGGGGTATTGAAGGAGTGATAGTTTAGCAGGGTGCTGTGTCCCCTTTTAGGGCCACTGGGACTGAGGACTATTGGGGCAAGGAAGTGGCCCAGAGATGCCCGGGTCTCTGCCAGTGCAGAGTTCACGACTCCCCCAAGCTCAGCCCCTTCCAACACCAAGGCTGTGGGCGGCTACTAGTCCCCTCCAGCTGGGCTCAGAAAGCTGCCTGCTCTTGTTGAGGGTGAGGGGTGCAGGGCCAGCCACTGCCGCAGGCCGGGAGCCCCAACCCTGCTGCAAGCATTCAGCCCAGTGCAAACCATCAGTGCTGGGTGCTCTACCGGTGCCACGGGCAGGGTGCTTCCATTTGGGCGCTCAGGCCGAGCTGTGACCCAGCAGCGGCCAGGTGAGACATCGGCATTGGAAAGGCTCCAGGTCGGGATCGGTGCTGCTGAAGCTCTGCAGAAGGGCCTGTGCGAGCCCCCCAGAACCAGGCTCAGCTGCACCCTGACATCGAGGTGAGCTTTGCCCCCGAGTGAGTCCAATCCTGTGTGCTGAGCAGGAGAAGGGCTTGCAGCAATTGCTGCTGGTTTCAGATGAGCTGCACAGTTGCAGTTTGGGTCTAGGGGATGCCCAGCAGGAGGAAGGGAAGTGCTGGGGGCCCCCAAGAGCTGGTAGCTAACTGGGTTTGCATCCAGACAACTTGTGGTCAGAGGCAAAGAGGGACAGTGGCTCTTCCAGAGGCTTGTAACCGTGCTGGTTGGATACAGCTGGCTCCGGCTAGAAGCAAGGGCTTTGAGGGGCTCTGCATTTGGGCTGACTGCACTTCCCTGCCTCTCCTTTGCTGCATTCATCAGTGAAGTTACCCTCTTCCTGCAAACCCACAACAGCTCCTCTGCTGGACCCACCAACAGCCCAGGAGGCAGGAAACAAGTTAAAAAATTGGGGGAATCATGAAATAAATCCTCACAAACTAGCCAAGGTTTCCAGTCCCATTTAATTTAGTGCTGGAGGATGCCACTTTCCTGGAGCAATTTCCATGTGATAGCAAATAAGAGTATTTTCTGGGCCCGATTCGGAGCAGACCAGTGGAGCCTGGCGTCGAACCAGATGAGCTGTGCAACGGAGAAGCTGGCTGCTTTGGACTGAGGATCTCAGGCAGTGATGCTGACCTGGCAGGTGCTGCCACAACCAAGGCAGAAGGGCCAGGAGGGCCAAGGAAGAAAAAAATGGCAGCATTGCAGAGAGAAGCTCAAAGACAGAAACAGGCAAGTGGCAGGAGTTGCTGGAGGCCAGGAAGCCTCCTTGTGAAAGTTATAAATGCTCCGTGGAAGGGGCTGAAAAGGCCTATCCAAAAGCAACCTTGCTATTATAACAGCGCCGTTTGTCTGGGCAGTGACACCTCCTCAGAAGCACACAACGCCGGCTGGATCCTGCCCTCAGAACGTGCACATGCAGCCCACGCTGCGTGCGGGGTCTGCGCAATCTCTCCGAGTGCACGCGCTGGCTAAGCCGCCTTTGACATGAGTCGCCCTGAAACAGCAGGACACGTTTTTGGGCCTCAGTGCATGTATCCCCATTGCTTTCAATAAGCCCGCTTAAGTGTATGGCTGCTTACTAGCTTGGATAAAGATTGCACAATGTAGCCTGATATTATGTGAGGACACATTTTGCATTCTGTCCAGTGGGTCCTTACTTTGGTTCCTTCATGGGTTTTTCCTTTGGTGTAAAAGACACACAAATAAAAGCATGTCAGAGGAGCAACTCAGATAGTAAGGAGTATCTGTAGGACAGCATTTTACATTCCCATGAGCAGCGCACCGGGACAGCCCGAGTATATCTGGTCCGGCCAACTTACGAGATGAGAACCCACCCCAGATACTGGAGCTGCTCCTTTTGTTCCTGTGGCACTGACTGCTTCGGGTACTGAAGACACTGGGACCCAAACAGAAGGGCTGTTATATGTAGATACAGATAATACACTAAAAGATAAGATACTTAGATATATAGATAATATACGAAAAGACTGGGGCATTCACCACGCAGCGGAGCTGCTGCCTGTCATTTCTGCTTGTTCTTTCTGGACCGAGTTATTTTTTATATGAGCACAAACAGCGCAAAGCCAGTCCCTGGCCCATCTAGGACTGGCTCAATACACTGACAGTGTTTTCAAAATATACATTTGGGCAAGCCTGGCCAGTCTCAAATAAGAAACGTGGACTAGCTGCAAAAATATGTACCTATCCGGTGTAAATATGTAATTTAGGCTGCCATCTCTGACCATGCTTTGCATCTAATTTAAGGTGCTGCTTATTTGGCCAAGTGGGGTCTGGATGCCTGTCAGGTAAATATTACAAGCTGTACATTTTCATGGCAGATTTTCACTAAATTTAGTAGGCACTAGATTAAAAGAGAACATGTGGCAGACTGCAGCTTTGCTCCTTTGCCATGTTTGTGTTGGGAGCTACGTTAGGGGCCCCACCGAAATCTTGCTGGAGCTTGCCTGGAGCTCGGAGGGATTGTACCGTCACGTGGCAAATCTGACATCTTTATATTAGGGCGCCGCATGCCCATCCCACACCAGTGCAGGTCTAGGGCCCAGTGTAAAGGCGGAGGATCCCCTCTTTCTCAACGCCCCCCTTCATTAGACTAGTAAATGTTCGCACTAGACACCGCTGTGCTTGTGCTCACCAGTCAGCTTATGCCTTCCCCCGGTGCTCTGAATCATGGGTTTTGGGTTGGCGAGACTGCTTGCACCCACCAGTTGGTTTCATATGTTCATTTTTTTTTTTTAAACACAAAAATGAAGCAGTTTTGCATCCCCAACAGCATGCAGGAGCCATGGCTGAGTACAGCCAGGTTGCTGACTACTTTATCCGCGCACTGTCCGAGATTTAATTCGGCTTTGATAAGCACATGGAGGCACCATGAAGTGTGCTCTATGATAAGAAAATCCAAGCCTCCAGTTATGCCACCAGTCCCAACAGATGTAATTCCTTAACCTACCCTTTCCCAGTGCTGTTTTAATACAGCCATCCCAGTGCGAGCTGTGATCTGAACAGGTCGCATTAGCCCAACTGCTCCATGTGTAACCTTTCCTTGGACAGGCAACCTCAAAGAGAGGCTGTGTGACTTGCAGGGATGTCAGCGGGTCAGAAGGTGGTGCTCTTCCCTCTATTTTTATACCTAATCATCAACCTCATCTATCCAGGGTAAGGGGCATGCTGGAATCCACCACTTCGGTGTGCGGTGCCAGCTCTTGCCAGAGATGCCCCGATTTCTTGTGGATCTGAAATTCCCACTGCACTTCCTATGAGCCTGGGAATGAATTACCTGCAGATTTGTAGCTGAATGCCAGCACAGGTGTCACCCAGATCCTCCCAGCAGTTTCCGCTGGATGCAGCTTTCTTTCTTCAGTCTCCATGGGGAGGAAAGAGGCTGCTTAAAACTGGTGCTTCCAGAGCACGAGCTACAGGAAACGTTGGTCTCCCAATGGGGGTGGGGCTGGGCAGTGTAGCCCTGTTCCCCTTCTGGGGCCAGCATGGGTGTTGCATGTGAGATGCACCTTATCATGTTGGGATGGTTTACTCAGGAATGATCCTACCTTGAGCAGGAGGCTGGACGAGATGTCCTCATGAGACCCCTTTCAGCCTTACTTTCCTTTGATCTTACGCATTTCAGAGAGATTTTTGCAATTGACCAAGCCTCAGACAACTTCATCTGAAAAGAAGAGACACTTTCCAAGGCATCATGCCATAGGTTTAATACAGCTTGAGAAAGCCAAGCCTCTTAGCGGCTACCATGGCCACAGCTGTGAAACAGGATTCACCACATTGCCAAGCATGTCCTGTTTACCTGAATTGAGAGCCCTGGGAACAGAAGGAAGCTGTGGGAATCAAAGCAAAGTCCTGATGCAAACATTTGCACGGGAGGGATGGTGTTTGTTTGGCAGTTTAAACAAGGGGCCAAACCAGGGAACTGGCTCTCTGCAGTCGATGAACAAAGGAAGTGATGTTTCTGAATTACAGCCCCAAAATCACTGAGTTTCGAGCAAGAACCTAGCCCATGTTCCTAACACCGAGCACTCGAGCTTGAACGTCACGGCACTCGAGCAAATGTTTCTTAACCTTCTGCAACGTTCCCCAATTAATTCTCTTTTCCTAGTCAGAGTCCCCCAGCTGGTATAAGGCAGCATTCATTTACATCAGTTGGGGTCCTGGCACTAGGGGCTTGTCTTCAGTGTTTGGTCCAGTGCAAAGCAGTTTCTTCTGAGACGAGATCAACCCATTTTGATTGCTATGGCAGAGTTATGATTCTTTCTCTTGCTCGGCTTGGTCACCGCGTCCATAAAAAGCGTCAGCTGTTAGATTTCAATAAATGATCCAGGCCAGGCTCTGGTAGGACCCATGTCTAGTTGCCTGTTCCCTCCTCCAAGTCTTCCAGGGACTTTCCAGAGCTGAAGCAGCAGATGAAGCTCCTAGAGCAGGACAGACAACCTGGGCCGCTCCTTTGCCCTCCCTGGTAACGATCTTCAGGGAATCTGAATTCTAGCTCTAGGATTTGGCAAATGACCCTGCACTTTATACCGAGCTAAGAAACAGAGAGCTCTGATTTTACACGTGGCAGGTTCAAAAACTAGGACGGGATCTAAATGAAGAGACTTGCCCTCACCCCCAGTTTTTATGTCCACTGCCTACAGAAATGAACTCCTTTGGGGCCAGGTTGTAAATCATTTATTCCTGAAGGAGACAATTGCTTTGTGCAACTCCTTGTGCAAGTCCCTGCTCACCAGTGGATATAAGGGCTTTAATATCTGTCCCTCAGTGATTTTACCTACTGCCTATACAGCTGGAGTGACTGGGCCAGGTAGAGCACACCAGAGAGACAAGTCTTTATAGTTTGCACTAGATGGATACACTTTTAAAGGAGACCCACTACTTCCACTTGGGATTGTTAGAGATCGGTGTGATTAAGAGGTGTGTATGAAGTAAGCTGAGCAATGGTAAATGGCTTTGTAATGGGACAAGAAGACTTTACTCTCTAGCATGCCATCGGCAAAGGTCTTTCAGCGGGTGAGGAATGCATCCTGGCTGCTCCAGACTCTGCTGATTGGTAGGGCAGCTGTGGGATGGAAAGAGGCTAAGCAAACATTCAATAAAAGATGGAAAACTCTCTCGTGCTGAGCACTCCCTAGCAGCTGGAAAAGGGTCACTTTCTGGAATGACAGCTTTATTTGAAGCAAAACCTATTACAGTCTCAGCCTTGTGCACAGGAAGCTATTGCGTTAGTCGTTTTGCCATCACGTAACTGGTCTACGTTCTGGCATATCCGAAGTCAAGGCCATCAGGCTCATTTTTCAAATTCAAATCTCAGTCTAGATTTGAACTCAGGACTGGATAGCTAGGGGAATGGTGCACTGACTCATTGTACTATAAAGCCTACTGACTAGGGACTGTAATTTCATTTGCTGCAATGAGCAAGGGCCTCTTGCAATACTTCCTGCTCCCTCCTAGGATTTTGGTGTGGGTAAAATATCCTTAGCACATTTTTTCAAAGAGATGAGATGCAAGAAGATATCAGCCTTAATGAACATTTTCAGGCAATGTCTCCTGCCCTGAGGTCTCCTCAACTAGCGACTGTCTTAAAAGCCACAAACTGTCCCAGTGATGTATTCAGCTGTTTAATATATTATACATAATGAAATTATACACTGTCATGGTGTATCACAAAGCAAGTTATTATCCAACAGTAATTCTCACAATTCTCTGTGAGGTAGGTAAGTAGCATTACGTCCACTTTACAGATGAGTAAACTGAGGCACGGAGCGGTTAAATGACTTGCCCAAGTTCACAGAGCGAAGCAGTGGCAGAGCAAGAGCAGACCCCAGGAGATCAGACTCCCTTTCCCCCTGCTGCAACCACTCAAACACGCTCTTGGCCGAGATAACTTAATGTGTTACTGAAACAGGACAAATATACTTACCAGCAATCTACAGTTACCATTAGCACTTGGAAACAGCACAGGCAGCAGCATTACAATTTCAGTTTTAGGCAAAGTAGGGCAAGGCTGCTTGTTGACTGGAGTGGGGTTTGGGTCAGGCCCAAGCAGAGACACATGCCGGGAGGTCACAGGGAGTCCTCTCTGCAGAGGGGTTGCAAGGTGCCAACAAAGCTTCTCCTGTTTGCAGGGAGGAAAGGAGTACCTTAAGGAGCCATGGCCTGCCAAGTCTGTTGGTCCCTTCTCCTCTCGTGGCCCCGTTTCTTTCCCCGAGTCTCCCCGGGTGCAAGTCCCTGCAGAGACCAGCTCCGGTGCAGTCAGCGCTGCAGACTTCCTTGTGGGGTTTCCATTATCCTCTCCCCTTGCAATACTCACTGCAGAACTGCACCTTCCTGATGCAGCTGGCTCTCGGTAGTTATGCGGGAGGGTGGGCAGGAATTTCTACCTCACTTGGCTGGGCTAATGATGGCGTTCATCTCCTCTGCCAGGTGCTTCCGCAGGATGTGCTTGGTGCTAGGGATGCCCAGAGCTGTCGCCATGGCTTCTGCGTTGAATGTCGGCTCTAGCACCAGCACAGCCCCATGGACTCCGCTGTTCATCAGGTTGTCTGCGTACTCCTAAAGGCGACCAAGCCATAGAGTTACCCAGCAAGCAGGTGTCCTGCCCCTCCTTTGCTAGTAGCTGCTGACATGAGAGCAGATGATATTCGTGGCTGCTCTGGCTAGGGGTCAGCAGGCTGGCTGGCAGGGGCTCCTCGCCCCTGCCTGACTGCTATCTCCCCCCATATCAATCCCACAGCGCTTAGGTCTTTTTATACTACATACTTCCTCTGCCCGTTATCAGTCTCCGCTGATGAGGACTGAGCCTTACAAAGGCAGTCTTCCCAGGCCTCACTTCAGGAGCTATCCTCTGGGGATGCAACCCAACGAAAAGGAAGGCAAATAATGTCTCAACCACGTCCATCAGTGAAATTCTCCCCTGTGCAAGGCACTAAGCGGTACGTGGGCCTGTGGGTTGGGGCTCTGCACAGCGAGGCATGGCTATGCCTAGTGCTCACAATCTGTACAAAGAGCAGGTCCTACCTTCAGATCGATGTCCCTCACCCACTTGAGCACCCGCTGATTTGTCCAGACAAGGGGGTCGACGTTCTGCATCTCGCAGCGAGCCCTCCGCTCTTGCAGAACCTACATGCATAAATATCAGCATTATTCACAGTACCATGGTCCTTGCCACCTCCATTCGACACTGCTTCCACAAAGCCCAGAGCTGTATCCTCTTCTACCATTGCCAGACCAAAGATCCAGGCCAATTGTTGGGGGTCTCGGAGGAAAAGAAGGGAACAAACAGCCCAGCATACCTGGAGTCAGTCCAAGACAACGCAGTACAACCTAAAACGGTCACTGGCTGAATGACATTTTCCTTTTTCTCTGCTTGCTTTCCAGGTATAGAAGGATCACTTAGAGTTGGGGAGGTGAAATCCCTTAACGTTACCTAAGCACCTCTCACCAACAACAGAGTTCAGTGCAGCCCACTGCCTGCCATACAGCTCAGTTTTGCACGTGCCTTGCTAGATGAGAGCTACTCCAGCAAACCTGAGCAAGTCTGTCTCCACTCAATGCAGCTGCTGGGCAGAAAGGCTATGTAATATATATAAAACAAGGCCAACCGAAGATGAGGATGCTCTGTCCCGGAAGCAGCTGAACCATAGGAGACGAGAACTGGGAGCACAGAGTGCTTGCTCCACAGACACTAGGATTAGCCTTGGCTGGAAGACCGATCCTTCGTTATACAGACAAGCAGCTCCCCCAGAATGGGCCACCCGGTATACCAAAGCCAGCCATACTGCCCGGTTTAACCCTTTCTCTTCTCACCTCCTTGCTGAAGTTGACTTGAAAAAGCAGCTCTATTCCCAACAAGATGCTGATCTGGTGGAACTTTTTGGACACGTTAAGGTGCTTCTCCAAATCTCGTTTTATCAGTGAGTTCAGCATCCGTCCATCAATGAGATGATTTTGGAAAGCTTGGGAGTACTGAGACAGCCCAATGTCATTCAGCCAGGCTTTGGCTACCCAGTGGTGATCCAGCTCAGAGGCTTTAGACAAGCTGAAGAGTGCACAGAAAACAGGAGGGATAAGGATTAGATCTGAGTCACGATGTATGATGCTTCTGCCACGCAGCGCTCAAAATCACATGTCCTTAAGCCTGGTGTGGGGCCAGGGCTTCATTTATTGCTACATGTCTACACTTGCTTTAAAGTCTACGGGGGAAATGATTTGTACTCCCTACATTTAAAAAAACCCGGCAGAAAGTCTGCTGACTTCTTAGCTCCTGTGTTGATCACTGCCATTATCCCCCCTATAAAAAAAATCCAATGCTGGGTGCGTGAAATTATTCAGGATTGCCCATCTCCCTTGAAAACATTTCTGGCATCACCTCCACTAATGAGTATACCCTAGCTACTCGGTCGCTGGCCACAGGATGTCAGCATTGCAGCACAGAAATCCTCTATTGAGGCGGTCGGGGATGTATTATATGAACGGGATAGTCAAATCCATGCACTCCCACCCCCTTCTAATGTCTGCTTTATATCTGGGGGTGAGTCACGGTATCCAGGGAAATATGCCCACACTGGCCACTAAACTCCTCCACCAATGACCATGGTCAGGCACACATCAGAGGTGAAGGGAAAAGTAACCTTGAGTCCACTTTTTATCCTGCTTGCCCTGGATGTACAGCCCTATAACTCCACGAGCATTAATGGAATTACTTGCAGTCTGTTGGTAGCCGCGTTAAAACTGGGTGGGAGATGCCCAGCTGCTCTGGCAAGGGGCTCAATAGCATTACCTTAATTAATCTAGCCTCGCCCTCTCTTCCCAGCTCTGAAGTGTGTAATAAAGCAGAGACCTAGCAGAAAAGAAAGACTCTCGTGTCAGGAGACTTATTTCCTCTCCTTACAATAGTAAATGCAATGCTAATTTAGAGCGTGCCGTGTTAATTAGCTGCTTGCTTCTCTTAACTCTCAGGAGACGGGGCTTCCCAGAACAAATCTGAGATATGGGCAACAGCAGAGAACTTCCTAGAAAGCAGGTAGGTTAAGGTCCAGCATTTATTTGCAGATTATCGTCTGCCCCTATAATGCAGGGACAGAGCTGACACTGAACTGCCGCTCACCATGGCAGCTCCTCCCCGATGCGCTTTGAGGACAGCAAGCAGCAGCCCTCCTGGAGCCTCACTCCGGGCCCCAAGGGGTGCAGACCCCCGTGTTGCTTCCCGAATTTCTATCTGGGATACTGCAGCCAAAGAGCACCAGCCCCCCCTGCTCAGAGCCATGCGCCAGCAGACAAGGGGCAGGACTCGTCCCCGCGCACGACTCCTCCCCTGTGCCTCTGCACCGGCTGGCAAACGGCGGCCGGGATCTCTGCTAGGAATGGGAAGTGGTGGATGCCCCCTGCTTCCAATTCAACCGCAGGCTGAGAAGCTAAATTATATATACCATGCAGCCACCGAGCATTAAAAAGCCATAGAGAATCACGGACGTCTCTAGGCCCTAGATGACTTAGAGCCTGGGATTAATACCCCAAAGACTCTCCCTTTGCCTGAAAAAGGGTGTTTGTACCCAAAAGCTTGCAAAGAACAATTTTCCCAACTATTTAGTCTAATAGAAGAGATCACATTTAGCCAAAGAGCCTTGTCTGCCGATGTCTGTAGACCAACACGGCTACAGCCAAGACCCCCTAAGGCTCAGGATCAAGGTAAAGCTAAAACTAGCCATTTTCAGCCCAGCCAAGGTGGCCACAGGTCTAGAGAAGATACGGTCTGATGTAGAAGGGAGCTATGCGGGGTCGTAATCTTGGCAAAATCTTGCTCTGGTTTGCTTTCTTTTCCTGACGGGCTAGTGACGCCCATGCTCACATCTCACTAGGCCACTAAGAGGGCTTTTTCTTTTCTTCTCTTCTCTCTTTTTTTCTTTTCGATTTGGTGGCTTTAAATACCAGAGACGGTTTGATGTATTTATTTTTTTTCTTTTTAAAATCAGCTTGGCCAGCACTACGCTCTACACTTGACTAATTAAATGAGCAAAAATGATGGGGAAATCACCGAGGGAAATAATTATGCAAAACAAAAGCATCAGTTTGGTTCAAGTGACTTTTCTCCCACACCGAGCCCAGCAGTATGGATTCTTCCCCAGCACTTTACTTTTTTTCCCTCTTTCCTTTTTTTTTTTCTTCACAGAAAATTTAATCTCTCTTTGCCTGACTTCTGGAGATAGATAAGTGTGCACGTGTGTACACACACACCCACTCCAAGGAGGTTTTAAGAAAAATGAACTTGCTTTGCAGAATGCAGCAACTGTGAGTTGTAAAGGTCAGACTAGCATTAGGCAGTGCTATGGGAAGCAAAACCAGGGTAAAGGTTTGAGGGCGCCAAAAGTTGTTATGAGTTGTCCTTGAAATGATAGAAAAATACAGCTGCAGAAGCTTTAGGTAACCATGCCTTTAACATGTTTTAGCTTTACTTTTTTGGTATTGGCACAAATTAAAAGGTGTAATCAGATAGGCCAAGTAGTATAAATAATGCTTTAGGATAGTATAAAAGGAGGGTTATTTTGTGATTCTCATCGCTGAACTACCAACTGCCAAATCCACTACATTTTGTTAACATGATGTATTACTTTTCATGATTTGTTACTCTTTGATTTTGCTCTTACCACATAAAAATTCTAATTTAACATGCAAAGTTATTTAATAAGGATCCTTCTGGGAGGCTGTGTTTGCTTTCAGCATTGCTGCTTTAAGTCTTTTAGGGTCCGAAAGGATTAATCACAGCCAATTCCAGCTCAGCATGGTACGATAATGGTAGTGCAGGTATTCAAATAAAATAAAAGGGAAAATAACTGAATTGGCAACAACACCCATGCACAGAGGTGCATGCATTCCTCCCACATGCACCTTGGCATGTACACAAGCATGCACATATGCACAGCTTTGCATGCACACGTGTAAGTATAGGCATGCACATACACATAAGCGTGTGCAAACATATGTGCGTGTGGCCATACACATGCATACACCAATTAATACAGAGTGAAACTCTGATGCCCCGAGGAAGTCCGTACCATCTGCCTGCCTCTGCGTCTCTGTAGTCTTCTATTGCCAGTCGAAGTTTGCGGCGGTGAAGGGAGTTGCACACGCCAAGTTCTGTTGCCAAATCTTCATCGCTCAGAGTTAACAACATCTGTGCTCGAAAGGGAAAAAAAACCAGGCAACCATGGACCTAGGGACTCAGGTCTTGCATGATGGCAATGCAATATACTTGTTTTTATGCCACGTGGTTCCTAAAAAACTATCCCCACATGGTTTCCAAAGTTAACTAACTAAATCATTGGGAAGAGAGGAGCAAGACGTTCAGGGTCTTATCAGAGGACCCAGGTTTTGTTCCCGGCTCTGCCACTGACTTCCAAGGTAACCTTGGGCAAGGCACTTCAGCATTTGAAACCTTAGTTTCCCAGTCTGCAATACAGGAGTAACGAGAGCATCTACTCCATCATACCACTGTGAGGATTAACTCATTCCTTTGAGAAGCCCAGGTTGCATATAGTGAGGAGATGTCGGAGGCGGCCAGGAACTGCTGGACAAGGGAGCCATCATAATCCCCTGTGCTGGCTTGAGCTGCAGCATATGGACCCAGTTTTAGATACCAAAGCCCCTCCAGATGCACAGAGATGGGCAGACTCCCCAATTGAGCCGTCCCCATTGTCGGCAGAGGGCTAGCTAGCAATGCATCAGACACTTAAGTGCCCGGGTGATTCTCCTACCTTCCCGCTCTTGATATTCTCGGCGCAGGCCTTGACGTACATGGGCATGGCCATCACCACCTCCAGCCACGTCTGCACGGTGCTGGCCTTCCACTGAGACATGGGCGTGGTGCGGACCAGCTCCACCTGCTGCAGCCGGTCGACCTGCTCCTCCCCTTCGGACAGGCTGAGGCTCAGGCGGGTCGGGCTGGACAGGCTGTCGGAGTCTGAAATACAAGGCAAACAGTGGAGATGCAGCTGGATGTCTGGCCAAAGGAGCCCTTTTTTTTTTTTTTTTTTTTTTGCAAAAATCTAGTTGGTGTAATAAAAGATATCGCCTCGACCACGAGTCCTGATTCCATCATGATCTAATGCTTTGGTCACAACAGGTTTCAAGAACTCCCTGCAAAACCTGGGAAGCTGCTTGAGATGCACAGATTCCCAGGTTAGGATAACGCTAATACAGTGGTGACAGCGCAGTGCTGCTACGGCCTCATCCAGGGCAAGGGCTGCAGAGTGCCCCAGGAGCTGGCTGCCTCAGCTTTGCTCATAAAACACCACCAGATCATTTCCAGCACAACAACCCCCCCACCAGCCCGGCTGCGGTCTTTGACAAAGTCTGAGTTTAGCTGAACCTTGAGCCAAAGCAGTAACGCCACCGACCGTCAGCAACAGCAGGCACTTATCCTTCACGCAGACCGGCGACACGAGGGGAAACTGCGAGCGTGTTAGATCAGGAGTCTCCTCCCACCCAAAAGTACCGGTCGAGAATAAAAAGAGCTCTGCGATCCCTGTTGGTCTTCAACGCTGCCTCACCACGCGCTTCCCGTGGGGTCACGTCCAATCCAGGCAGATCATCCTTGGTCGCTCTTGGTGCGATTTCAGCCTCGACTGCTTTCTAGCAAACTGCAGCCACCTGAGCCCCTATAGATTCCTGCAGGAAACTGCCAATGCATTGATCTCCGAATCAATAATTGGTTCATCTGTCACTTTAATAAAGATCTTACTGGAAACCAGGGTTGAATCTCACGTTGCTGCAAGAGGCAGGAGCCAGAGGGAGAAAACTGGAACAGTTGTGCTCAGCCAGGTGCATGGCAGCTGGAATAAGGGCGTGCATAGGGTATTTGCTGCCCGCTGCTGATGCTGAACCATGTCATGGGGCCTTCTTGGATGTTGGCTGGGAGACTCACAAATCCTG